ATCTCTGCTTCCCAAGTAACTGAGACCACAAGGTGTGAGCCACCACTCCCAGCTCTACTACCAAGTCTGACTTTACAGAATAACCAATGCAGGTAAAATAGACAAAGAGAATAAGTAAAGGGCTTAAAACAATTTAACTTCTGATGAAGACAAAATCTAGAAAGAGCTACTGCCAAAAAAAAAAGCTTTTTTTTAATGGCAATATGAAGCAGAAAAGTAAGGTGATTAGCCCATACTGGATTTCATAAAACAGGGGGATTATGACACAAAATTTTCAATAGGTATTCAGCTAAATTAACAACATCAAAGTGTCAAAGAAACAAAATGCACTTCTGCAGTTCTGAAAGAAAAAGCAACTTTACAATCGGGAGAAAAAGGGAAAAGGAAGAACACAAAAAGTAGTCATTGCATTCTCTGACAAGGTGGGCATCAGGTCTTAGAAAATGCCAAAAAAACAATGGAACCCATTCTCTCCTTCTCTTCCCCATCACTCATGGAACATAGGTTTCCAGCTGTTATATCCAGATCCACCTCCTATTCATCCTAATCGAGAAAGCAAGGAACAGAAAAACAAGAAAAGTCAGACTGTTCTAGCCTGTTATCCTAATGTAATTTTTCTGGCCTATCATCCAAATACATGTACAATTAAATCAAGTCTGCACTCACATTTACTACATTCAGGGATTCAAGCACCCAGTCCAAAATTTCTTTCTTAGCTGTTTACTGGCAACTGATTCTTTCAATGGCCAACATGTATATAAATAACTGACAGATAATATTCTAAACAGAAAGAGGGGTGAGTGGATGCCTAAAGAAGGGAGTTCAGTAAATAAGGAGAAAGAAAAGAATATAGAAAGGGAATGCTAAAAATAACAAAGACAAACAGCTATTTTATGATTTTTGCCAAAAGAACACCTTTGAATATATCTGGGTTAAGTATTAATGGTAATAGTCAGAACTGCACAAGCACCTACATTAATGGGAATATCACTTTTCAGGATTATGATGCAATCCAACCTGGCATGGTTCACAAAGATGTATTTTAACACAGTGGACCTCATTATAAAGGAGATCCTACCCCAGAATATTCCCTAGTCAATGCATTATAATTAAACAGTTTAACTAAGATTGACGATCAGAGATCTTGAATAGAGAACATAATTGTAATTGTAATGCAACTGTGAAAAGCTCCCTTCTACAGAAACAGCACAAGAAGAATAGTAAATACCACACTCTGGTATCATACTTTAAAAAAAAAAGTATTAATTATACCATATGGTTATAACATACCATATACTCTATCATACCATATGGCCATAGGGGAAAAAAATCAGGTAAATATAAATGGTCAGATGTAAATGTTTAATGCCAAAAGTGTAACTACATTCCTTTGACAAATATTTAATAAACACCTGTCATTTAACAGAATATTCTATTTTGAGCACCTACAAAGTATTAATACTACAAATACAGGACATGAAATTTGTTCGTTTCCCAACATATTTTAAAAACATTAAAATCTACATCCTATGTTCAAGATGTTTGGTAGCAGTAAAAAATTAACAACAACTTAACACCCAAAAAGATGATTGGCTAAATAAACCACAGTATATCTAATAATACGCAAAAAGTTTCACTATATTAAGTTTTTTTAAAATACAAAACTACATGTTATACAAGCATTAAAAAATAACAGATGGAATGCACCAAAATGTTTATAGTAATAATATCTTGGTGGCAAAATTACCGATGATTTTTTACTTTTTGTACTTGTATTTTTTCTTTCTTTCTTTTTTTTTTTTTTTGAGATGGAGTTTTGTTCTTGTTTCCCCAGGCTGGAGTGCAATGGTGCAATCTTGGCTCTCCGCATCCTCTGCCTCTCGGGTTCAAGCAATTCTCCCGCCTCAGCTTCCCAAGTAGCCGGGATTACAGGCATGGGCAACCATGCCCAGCTAATTCTGTATTGTTAGTAGAGACGGGGGTTTCTCCATGTTGGTCAGGCTGGTCTCGAACTCCCAACCTCAGGTGATCTGCCTGCCTGAGACTCCCAAAGTGTTGGGATTACAGGCGTGAGCCACCATGCCTGGCCTGTATTTACATCTTAATTTTGACAATGAACTTGGTTCCCCTTTGAAATTAGACTTTTTTCTTTCTTTCTTTCTTTTTTTTTTTTTTTTTTTTTTTTTTAGCTGAAATCACCCCCTGGAAAACTTTCATTTATTTATTTTTTTAAAAACCTGTATTTTATTGTCAGGTAAAATAAATCTTCATAATAAAATGTGTCATTACACACAAGCAAACCTTCTCATTCTTTCCATGTAATTTGCAATAAGAGATCCCTTTAAGTGTACATAATCAAGACTTCAAATAAAAGACCACAGTACATTTCAGTTTCCACTGAATTAACATCAACTTCAAATTTAAAATTATTTCTTGAAGGAATTTATTTTGTCATCATGTGTAATGCTGATACTTACGTTTGAGAGATACATTTTCTAATCATACGTCACCTTCCCAGCCAAATACATTTATTACCAGTTCAGAAGAAAATATAGAGGGAAAACTACTGTTCACCACTAAACATTAAAACTTGGGTAGAGGGGGAAACATTTGTCTTTTAACCAAATAAAATTAAGAGTATCCTTATAGTTTCAGGGGCATAAATATGCTTTCCAATTACTGGCAATTTATACTTAAATTTAGCAAGCCTAGATGCTCTCAAGCATTGGTACATGGGAGCTGCTCAAGACATATGCCAAATACAGAAACCCATGGCCCTAGCTCTCACTAAATCAGAATATTCAAGAGGTAGAGTTCCAAATAATCTGGCCCTTTCAAATAAAATAGAAGGGTAGAGCTTTATTTACTTCACAAAAGCCTTCTTTACAGAACTGCAAACTGTTCTACTAACTCTCCAACAAAGTTCCCGATATAAACAATGTTCCCAATATAAACAATGTTATAATCAGAGAATCACAATTTCATAACCCCAACCCATTACTTTACTCATTGTTTCACTCTGTAGTAAGTCTTCAAACGAAATACGATTCAACAAAACTACATATCTATTACAGAGTAAAATAAAGCCCAGAGACACCTGTGCCTGGTTAAGACAAAGGCATATCCGATTCCTGGAGAAAACAGACAGCAGATGTGACCCCCAGTATTTATCCATTAAAAACAATGTATCCTAAAAATAAATTTCCATGTCAACGGAAACAAAGATGTTTATAAATAAGAAGGAACGTGGAGGTGTGGAGAAGACAAAAGGAAGCTTCAGAAAGTTAAGTACCAAAAGCCAGGAAACAAGGCAAAACGAATGGTAACTGGAGACAAGGGAAACAGAATAAACTAGGAAATTGAAGTAGTGAAGAGCTTTCTCCTTAGAATCCAAGAAGCTGAGGTAGAGGAACAGGTATTAGAGGAAACTGATCTAAACAGAAATACAAACTGGAAAGTGGAATGATTTTAAGAAACTTAAAAATGAGAAATTTTAGAACAGACCAAATGATAACATGTTTTGGGCATGTAGATAAAGAATTTTTATCTAGAAGAGTAGAAAACAAACATTATCATAAACAAGCTGATACTGAATAAAGAAAGTAAGTATATTTAATGAATTTCCAAAGATGATGCAAAAAAAAAAACAAAAACTGCAAGGAGAAGAATGGAACGTTATGAGAATTGAGAAATAAGATCTGAGTAGTAGGTAGGAAAGAGAACTTTGAGCAAAGTCAACAGAATAAGTCACATTATGTAATCAACAGTTGTAAACCACAATTACTATACCGTATTTTATTTGTAAAGCGTAATAAAGTGTATTTTGTGTAATAAAAAACAAAACGTAAGTAATCTGACACGGTGCTAAGAGGCAAAAACAGGCCGAAAGAAGCAAGGACTGAAGAGGAAAAACTAAGAGAAAAAAAAATAGGACAAAAAGGAGGACAACACGAAGAAATCAATCAGACCTATAAAAATGGGTAGGAAAAAAGAAGTGTGAATGCACCATGGAAGACTAGCCAAAAAGTGCCAGTAGTGCAAGGGCGAAAAGAGCCAAGACAAACCTGATGGAATCTTGACAGCTTCTGGGCTCAGAAAATAAGTAGTTCCAAAGTGTCCAGGAGGATTTGTGAAGATAACAACAGACAACAATGTTAGGGAGTGGTGAGATGAAGTAGAGGGCCTCAGAGGACCAGCGTAAGAGAAGTGCAAAAATGCTCTTAAGTGGGAGCTGGGGTTAGAAGGCAGCCAGGTCGGACGACTGGAAAATGAGGGGGCAGTAGATGGGAATGGGATGGGGGTTACTAATCAGCGACAAAGCACTGACAAACATTAGGAATAAAGGACCAGAGACCAGAAACGGCATCGATTCAGGATTGAAAAAAATAAAGACTAAATCAAAATCATCTGCTGGGTAAAACAGGTGATGAGAAATCCCCAAACAAATAGAAAAGTGAAAAGGGGCAACGGCCTGAAAGGGGAGCAGTCGGGGAGAGTAGCGAGAGGAAATGATGCGCCCCATCATCCCCACGACCATGTAAGAATTACACGCGACAGTAACTCGGGCTGTGGTCCCAGCCCCGGCTGCTAACCTATATCCTCCACCTCGAGGCCGCCGCCGCCGCCCCCACCCCTCAAATAACGAGCACATCTAAGAGATGCAGAGCTGGGTACCTCAGCCAGTCGTGACCTTCTCGGGCCAACCCTGAGTTTCGCCCCCTACTGATAGCCTCCCGCCTCCCGCTCAACCACCGCTGCCCCAATCCCCACATCTGGGGTGGGGGCCGGGGAAACCCCCCGGGCCATTGTGTGTGTTTACGTAGGAAGGCGCCGCATGACGGAGAGGGACGCGGGGGCGATGCCCACCTCTCAGCCGGCGGGGCCGGACTGAGAAGGTGGCTGAGGGCACCGAGCCCCCACTGCTGCCTCTTTCCAAAATAAACACCATCCAGCCGCTGAGCCCGGAGTCAGAAGGGCGGCAGGGTGGCGCCGGCACTCACCTCCTCAGGAATGGCAGGGTCCGCAGCCGAAGAGGCCGCGGCGCCGGCGCCGGCCTCGGGCTCCATGTCCCCGTTGAACAGAGCCTGGCCCGGCTCCGCGCCGCCGCCACCGCCACCGCTCAGCGCCGCCATCTTATAACCGAGAGCTGGGGCCCGGGCGGCCGCTGCTGGGCGGGGAGGGGGAAGGGAGGCGGAGAGCTGGGGGAGGCGGAGGCGGAGGCGCGGGGGGCGCGGGGAGGAGCGGCCCGGGTGGCGCCGCGGGCTGAGGGCGCCTGAGCCACCTCAGGTACCGGCCCACGGCCCCCGGCGCAGCCGAGCCTGAGGGGATAGGGGGAAGGACGCTAGGCGGTGGGGCGGGGGGAGCCGGGGAAGGGGGCGGAGACGACGAGAAGTCGCCGCGGCAACGGCGTCACCCGCGTGTCACGGTCGTGACGTCACCCCGGTGCGTGACGTAATCGGAGGAGCGCCCTCGCGCAGTCGTCAGGGGAGGGTTCCTTCCCTTCTAACCACCCGCGTTCTCACACTTTGCCTCCGCTCCGCGGTTTCCATGGCGCCGATTTCCTACTTTCTTCTCGTCTCCTGCGTCCTCAGCCTGTGCTGTAATGTGGGATTTACTAGAAGAGCAGGGCTCGTGTTCGAGGAGGAGAAGTTGAAATCCTAGAGGGAGGAAGGCGGGGAAGCCCATACTACTTGCTATTTCCACTGCAATGAACGTCTCCGTGTCATAAAAATAAGAACTTCAACCCCAAGGTTGAAACAGCCAAACAGAATTTGATGGAAATATATTTAGGAACAGCTAAATTAGCAGTGCGACGCTTGTTTCCTTTTCATTGAAGAATTCGGCCAGTTAAAATGAGTCTAAATGGAAGTCTAAAAGCTTTTTCTTCATTGTTGAAGAATAAAATGTTTTCGTGTATTTTTCGTTTTCCAGATTCATTTAGCAAATATCAGTTGAGCACTTTCCATGCCGCAAGGCCTGTATAAGGCACATAGCATTCTAGACATCTGAAGCATCAAAACTAATTTTTATTTTGAAGAAAATCACTCAAAATATTTTATGTACTTTGTGCCTTTCATGAACAAAACATTCCAAGCATTCTCTGCAAACTATGCATGAAAACAATTGGGAGAAGAAGAGGTCAGTTATCTTTGAGAAGCCCAACTACAGAATGGGATTAAATTCATTATTAAAAATACATGTACCTAATAAAAATAATAAATAATTGGAAAAGAAAAGCTTAAGGAGGAGTGAAATGGCAACGAGAAACAATTACTGTGGGCTCCCAATTGCTTGAAGTGAATCACCGAAGTAACCTAGTCATGAAAAGCTAAGTGGATTCTGCCTTTTAGTACTTCCCATGATGGGGGAAGTCACCAGCGACCTCCTTACTGTATTTTGGATGATTCAAGACATAGAAAACAACTGTCCTACTAACTTCTGAAACAGGGTGTCTGCATATTGATTAGGGTCACCATAAGCCTGGGAGCTGATGCTTACTCTCAAGGTAAAGAAGGGTGTGTGAGTCTGCTTGATGAATCAGAATACTAGTATTTCTCTGCATTGAAAAAATATAACCTGTAAGATGAACATTGTAGGCCACACATGGTGGCTCACGCCTGTAATCCCAGCATTTTGAAAGGTCGAGGCGGGCGGATCACCTGAGGTTGGGAGTTCAAGACCAACCTGACCAACATGAGAAACTCCGTCTCTATCAATAACACAAAAATTAGCTGGCTGTGGTGGCACTTGCCTGTAATCCCAGCTATTTGAGAGGCTGAGGCACGAAAATCACTTGAATATGGGAGGTGGAGGTTACGGTGAGCCAAGATTGCACCATTGCATGCCAGCCTGGGCAACAAGAGCTAAACTCTGTCTCAAAAAACAAACAAAACTCCCCCCAAAATTAGCCTGGCATGGTGGTACACACTTGTAATCCCAGCTAGCTACTCAGGAGCCCAAGGCAGGAGAATCACTTGAACCTGGGAGGCAGAGGTTGCAGTGAGCTGAGATCGTGCCACTGCAGTCTAGCCTGGGCAAACAGAACCAGATTCTGTCTCAAAAAAAAAAAAAAAAAAAAAAAAAGATGAAATAAGTTTAAATCAAAAGGTGGCTTGGTAAATGTAGAGTAAATGATCGCAAAAGATGATGTCATCAAGCTAAACTAATCTGAAGCACCCTTCTTTACTATAAAGACATACTTAGAAGCAGACTGAAATAGCACCGTTAGCCAGTCCTGGCACCATTTCTCCTTTCATTATCCATTCATCAGAAACACAACTGGCAAGAATTTTTAATTCTCTAACTGACCTATTTCATTTTTTAAAAATTAGCTGCTAAAAATGTTATATCATTATAACACTTCCTTATAACATTAAAAGTCTTAAGGATTTTTTTCTCCCATTGGTTCCATTTTGAATTCTAGCCTTATTTGTCAGCATCAATCTGTAGTTCAGATCTTCTGTGATTATTTCTCCACAGGATGACTGGTGTCATCCATTTAATATCAATTCTTCTTAGCATCTACTCATTTGACATTTTCTGACCTTGCCTTAAAATTCTGGATATATCCTATTTTACTTTCTTAGGCCATTCTACAGTCCTACAGTATCCAGATGAGAAACAACAGAGAAAACATAAACTTTGGAGTCCAAAGATCAAGATTTTAGTGTCGGCACTCCACACCTTAGCTATACAGTCTCAAAGCAGGTAAGCTTAAATCCCCGTTTGTTGTGTTGTTTTTAATCTATAAAATGAAGGTTATAATAACGCGAGTCCAACCTGCCTAACTTTATCATTGTGAGGATTAAACATTATACTTTTGTTCTCTAAAAAGTGTAAAATTACCCTCTCAGTCAGAATTCAGACAAGCATAGCAAAGATGGCTTATCTCTGCTCTATGATGTCTGGGGCCTCAGCTGGGAAGACTCAGTGTCTCAGTGGTTGGACTGAAAGCCTTTGGAGGCATATTTTTTGACATGGTTGGTGGTTGAAGGTGGGACCTCAGGTGGGGCAGTGAGCCAGAATACCTAAACCCACTCTTATGTGACCTGAGCTTCCTCCTAGCATGGCTGCCTCAGAGTAGTCAGACTTTTTACAAAGCAGCTCAGGGCTTCAAATGTTAGTGTTTCAGTAAACAAGGTTAAAGCTGTATTGCATTTTATAATCTAGTCTCCAAAGCCACACAGCATGATTTCTGCTGCATCGTTTTATATTATAAGCAAATCACTAAGTCTCGCTCAAATTCAGGGAGAGGGAATATAGAGCCCACTTCTCAATGAAGTGTCAAACAATTTGCAGCCATGTTTTAAAACCACTATAGGTTGTGTTCAGAATAATAAACTGGCTACTCCATAGCCACACACACACCTTCTTTTAAAGCATTCTATACCAGTCAACTTTCTCTCCTATTTACTACTAGGAATCACCAAGACACATCTCAGTGTTTGGCTGTGTCCCCACCAAAATCTCATCTTGACTTCCTCCATGTTGTGGGAGGGACCCATGGGAGGTGATTGAATTATGGGAGTAGGTCTTGCTTGCGCTGTTCTCATGATACTGAGTGAATCTTATGATAGTGAATGAGTCTTATAAGATCTGATGGTTTTAAAAATGGGAGTTTCCCTGCACAAACTCTCTCTTTGCCTGCTGCCATCCGTGTAATATGTTGACTTGCTCCTTCTTGCCTTCTGCCATGATTGTGAGGCTTCCCCAGCCACATGGAACTGTAAGTCCCATTAAACCTCTTCCTTTTGTAAATTGCCCAGTCTGGGGTATGTCTTTATCAGCAGTGTGAAAACGGACAAATACAGTATGGTTATAAACAAGCCTTTACCTTATTTTTTCAGCTTCTGAGGCCTCTACTGCATGCAAAAATAGATGCAAGTCCTTTGCCATTGGACACAGCCTGTCTTCTGAGCACCTCTCCCAAGCCCCTAGTGCTGCCATAGGCTGTGTTGATGTGCTGAAACCCTCTACAAAAAACCCTGAACAAAACAGTGTTCCTGCAGCCCGTAACGAGCTAAGCCAGTGTGTGTTCTGAGCCAAAACTGAACACCTCCCTTTTGTGGTTGTAGTGTGCCATATGGGCATCAAAGGAGCATTATCTTGCATTCTAAAGTCTTACAGACATTTTAATCAACACAACTCTTTTAGGTTTTATTCAAAATCCCCTTTTGCCCTGAGGCATTCGTGTATTCACAGGAAGCTGGAAAACAAATCTAGGTGAGAGGCACCGCTCTGAGCATTGGTTCAGTTGATGACCAAGACACTGTTCAGAGCCTTACTGCTAGGTCTGACCCTTTCTTCCGCAGACACGAGTTTATTTCCAACCAGCATTTCTATCTCAAATTCTGCATTCTATTATAATAGACCCTGGAGAGTCCCACCAGCCAGCCAGGCCTGCCTAGCTAGGTCTGATCCCACACTGATACGATCAACTACTGGAAAACAAATAAGCAGCCTCTAGGAAGCTTCTGCAGTTCCAACCAGATTGAATGATGTATAACTGATCATAGTTCAATGTTTTCTTTATGAATCAAGGTCATTATTATGAATAACAATACTTCCTGCATTGTTTAATAGAGGGCTGCTTCCAGAAGCTATTTAGGTGTGAACAGAAAACAGAATTATAGCGTTGATTCAGCACAACTCACCGGAGAAATGCTCAGAAACCCCTCTGTGGAATTCCAGACTCTGTCCAAATACTTTAATGAACAGTTAGTTTCTGAAGTTGATTTGAAATCCTCCTCATTATGATATCTATATTCTGGTCTGAGTTTTGCCTTCTAGAGGAACACAGGATGAACCTATTTCTTATTCTCTGTAACTGCTTTCAAGTATTTGAATGGAACTGTTTCCTTTAGTGCTCTCCTCCAAGCATTTTCTCTTCTTTCTGTGTACCCTTTTCAATGTTCCTCTTAAAACATAGACCCATAAATTGAATACTGTTCCAAATTTGGTCCTTACAAATTTGGTTTCTTGCAACCATATTCTGAAACAATTTTGTATTTATTGTGGAATGGAACAAATGAGTGCATGTATCAAAGTTAGGAGTCAGGGTTTGTACTGTGAAAAAAGTGAGAAACAGATATAGGACAAGGGAAGTTGAAGGAGAACCCTTTGGCATTGTATTTGAATTTGAGGTAGCAATATGAACATAGGAGAGAGAGAGAGTGAAAGAGAGTGAGAGAGAGAGAGAGAGAGAGAGAGAGAGAGAGAGAGAGAGTGTATGTGTGTATTCATGTATTCTTAGCTCTGCCCACTGAAAGGGGTGCTTAGGAGTAACAGTAAGTACACCTGGTGCCTGCATCTTGATTTTGAAATACCATTCTCCACTAAAAGTAACCAGGGCTC